GGGGGTGGGACGTCACCTGTGTGTGTGGTGTTGATAGGTGGCGGAGGAACCAGGCCATCTATGTGCAGGACTTCCCCCGCAAGAAGCAGCAGCAGCAGCAGCAGCAACAGGGCAGCCAGCCATCAACAGACGACATGGAGAGTGAGGCGGACAAAATGAGTCCGGCCATCCTTGTGTGTCTTAAGTTGGCTTGTGTGTCAGATCATCTGGCGGACTTCCTTCACGCCACGACGAAGGCGGGCGATTGGTGCAACAAGGTCCGCGAATTCGACTACTCGACAGCCATCGGCAAAATAGTCGCGTCTGTGCCGGTCAGCCGAACACATAGGGAGGGGGAGGGCCATGACAGCATTCACTCATACGACAGACGCGTTCCTGCTGTGTGGATGTCTGTGCGTGTCACGTGCCTGCAGGGCAGCCACCAGGCTCCCGATGTCAACCGGTGGGGCCACATGAGAATGCGGGAGCTGCTCAAGAACCAGCCGGACCCCCAAGACTGGACAAGGTGAGCACGTGACGGCCGCACCGTCTTCGTCATGTGCTCCTTCCGCCCGCCGGATCTCTGTCTGTCTGTCTGTCTGCGCTTATTTCTTCATGTGTTTGTTTGCATCAGGTCCCACTTGGTGTGTCAGGTGCCGTCGGTCGGCAGCCTCGACGAAGACTTCATAGAAGACCTCATCGGTGAGGGCTCAAAATGGCCGATGTGGGGCCACTTGACGCTCCTGATGGATGGATCGCAGGTGGTCTGTGTGTGAGCCCATCCCATCCCGAGATAGCAGAAGGCACGCACCTGACGTGGCAGCTCATCCTCCCGACCGTAGACGAAGTCAGCACCGCACATTCACACCAAAGAGGGCTGTAGACATGCCTGGGGACACTCTCAGTGTGCTGTCCGTCGTCCCTTGTGTGCAGGTTCGGAACTCATTGGAGGGATGGGTGGCGGGCGAGTAAGAATGACGTCGACACACACACTGCACACACAACGCCGATATCGCACCACATGGCTGTCTGTGTGGTTCTTCCCTCTCGCTCTCAGGGCCATTCACGTCACGAAGGACCGTCTGCTGGTCGCCGACAAGCGGGAGCCCGGCAAGAGGGAAGACCTACCCCCAGATGTTTTCCACAGATGGGGCTACCACAAACCCAACGGCGAGCCGGCGTGCCGCGGTGCCGCCCTCCCCCACCCGCCCAACAGGACGTCGGCGTGCCCCCACCTCAAGACGTTCCTCAAGTGAGCCACAGACACACAGACACAGACATGCACAACCACGGAGGCATATGTGTGTGCCGTCCGCTGTGTGTGTTGCAGGTACGGTCATCGTGCGGGCGACAGCAGCAAGCGGCCCGAGCTGGCCTGGGTCTATGTCGGCAGCCACAATCTCAGCAAAGTGAGTGAGCCGACAAACAGTGACACATCTGTGGTTCCTCTCTCACGATCCTCGTGTGTGTTGTGTGCCACACACATGCAGGCGGCGTGGGGCGAGCTGCAGGACAACGACAACAAGCTGTCCATCCGGTCATATGAGCTGGGTATCCTCATCTCACCACACACACTCCGCGGCCGCACCCCGCCCCCACCACACACCACCCCCCACACACAGCTGGCCGGCTCATCGTCATCCAGCAGCAGCAGCAGCGGTGCCGCCACGCAGATGCGGTCATTCATGTGGCGCAAGAGCAATCACACAGGTCGGTCGATCGACACAGACAGACGGCACACATGCAGCCCACATCCACGCGTCTTGTGTGGGTGATGGGCTGTGTGCACTGCACGGCCCTCTCCCCTGCCCCGCCTCTACGCGGCCACTTCTCGGTGCCCGAGCGGTCCACCTGATGTGCCGCTGATCGGTGTGCCTCTGCCCTATCCCCTGCCGCCGGTGCCCTACGGCCATTGCCACGTGGTGTGGACGACAAACGGCGCACACACTGGGCCGGACAGCCTTGGCAAGGAGGCCGGGGGTGACGGCGCGAGCAAGAGTGTTCAGGTCAGTTCCTCGCGGGCTGACTTCTGATGTGGAGTGTGAGCGGGGGAAAGGGAGTTGTGGGTTGGTGTAGATAGATACAGTACACGATAGCCTTCTCGTCGATGTGTGCGCACCGACTGGAACTCATGCAAATGCCCTCATGAATGCATTGGAATGAATGGGCGAAGAGCGCACGCAACTTAGAGGCAGGCAGGCAGGCATGAACACACACACACACACACACGCACGCACACAGAGAGAGAGAGAGAGAGAGGCCCATGCGCAGTGCACGCCCCCTCCCTCCCTCCCTCTCTGCACACACAGCCCCCCCCCCACTGCGCACATCCGTGTGTGGCAAGGCGCCTGCCTGCGTGCTGCGCACTCCTGCACAACCGCATTCACGAAATTCACAAACCCTACACAGCATAATTAGGGTTTAGGGTGTGGGGTTCCAAACCCTGCAAGCTTAGAGGTGCTGGGGGGAAATGCACACCGCACAGACCGCCGCAGATCAGATCTCCGCAGAGAGGCTCACAGGAAGGCCACACACGCAGTCAGGAGCAGCCAGAAGGACAAGTAAGCTGACATATCTCTCTGTTTCTTTGTCTGTCTGTGTGTGCAGGTCGAGATGGCGTGCTGCGCCAAGACTCCGAGGCTCAATTTGGATGCCAGAGGATTGCTCTCGATGAAGGCTGTGCTATGCGCCGACCAATCGGCCTCTGCGGAACTTCTCGCTGACCCCTCAATGCCTCTCCCATTTTTGTCCATCTCTGCAGGCCCGTGTTTGGCTCTGTGGGTGCGGCCCGGTCCATCCGACGCATGCTTCAGGTGCATCAGCTCATGGGCGACACAGGTGCCAAAGGAGAGGGCAGCAGCACACACACAGCCAGAGCACCGACGCTGGCGGGATTTTCACCTTTCTGACTGTAGGGTT